GTGTTGTGCACATGATGTTTGTAAGCCATTTAAGAAATCTGACCAGAATTTAAATGCATCCAAAATAGTAAAAAAAAATGCCATATAAAACAAGAGTTGCAAGATAGACCTTTTATCATCCCTCGCCACTAGATTAGCCTCAGCTGTAAAATTCAGTTTTTTCCCCCTTGAAATTAGAAATAATTCCTATTAATCTAACAAGTGGATCGCATGATCATGAGTCATTTATGTCATGAGGAAATTAAAAATTGATTATTTTGTATCCAGTCTGAGTTCATGGAAAAACTGATGTGCTTCAAGGATAATAGCATATCCTTTTGGAAGGGAAATTGACTTGTTTGGAATGGGCAGCTTCATGAGAGAGAGAGAGAGAGAGAGAAGAGAGAGAGAGAGAGAGAGAGAGAGAGAGAGAGAGAGAGAGAGAACGTAATTTATCAGATACGCATATTCTTAAATATCGTTTACCACAGGAGAAAGAACACTTTTGGTCTTGGAGTATTAGAATAGATACTGATTTGTTGGTTGTCTTTTTTTTAAGGTCACTAGGAACACAATTAGTTGGGGTCTGGTGCTTTAGCGACTTAAAGAAATGAAATGATTTTGCCAGAGTATCTAGCATTTATCTCTTTAAAGGTTGATTGATAGAGTGATTGGTTTTAATTTAGTAGATGATGTTGTGTTCAATAATGGTATTTTATTAAGATCCAGTATTTAGGGGTGTAAAGTTTTTCATTCACCATGGGATATAGTAGAAACTCATTCTGTGAACCTCATTACCAGGTATAATCTTGAGATATTTTTTAATGAAATAGACCCCTCCCCTACAAATACGTTCTTACCATAGTGCCTGGCGCATAGTAGGTGCTTAATAAACGCTTATTTTCTCCCTCCCTCCCTAAGCGTATCATGTGAATGAATCATTAAAGGAGACTATTTGGAAAAGAGCTCATAAAATGGTGACATTTCCTGCTGAATGCTGTCCTTCAAAATTGTGAAAATGGTATGCTTTATTTTCATTTGAAACCCGAAAAGGAAAGACACTGCTGTGTTATATATACAGTGTTAGTTACAGTATTATATAAAGCTCCCAAATGTTCAATTGAGAAGCACTTTTGATATGCTGATAATAGTAACATTGATCATCTTAACTTCTGGCTGTGAATTTCTGCAAGAGTCTTGCTTCTATCATTCATGTGTGATAATAAGGCATAGTCTGCTCCCCAGGAAGTCATGTTTCCCCCCTTTTTATTTTGTGACTGACATTTCTACAAAAGCATCTTCTGTCAGTTCCTACAACTGCTTAAATTTCATTTCAATGTTATCAATACACATTTTCCCCCTTGTTTTCATTTGAGGGGAATGTGGGGGGAGAAACCACAGAGAAATTTCAAAGCAGTGAACAGGAGGTAGTCATATAAAACTTGTTAAATAAAATCTGCTGGAAAACAGAGTAGATGTGAGAAGAAGCCTGGGAGAGTTAAACACACACATGGCATTTTATTCTTGTACAAATAAAAAATGCTTCAGAAATCACTCAGTCTTAGCATTTCATTTTAGCTTTTTTATCATCTTTTAAAGAACATCTTTCTTGGTAAAAAAAAATCTAAAATGATACAGGCATATGGGCCAGCTGTTCAGGATATTTTTTTGGGTCATTTCCTAAGATTCTGAACAAATATTTCATGTTCCAGTTGGAATTAAAATGCTAAGCTATACTTTCTATTAACATAACAGTGCCAGATGAAATGTTTTGTGTGTGACTTTTAATCATTACCTGGTTTTCATATACTGATCATTTTATTTCTAATTATAAAAAAAATGATGGTCAACATTTAATCAAGACTCCTCTTATTAGATTTTTGAAATTGTTTGCCTGGATAAACAGAGGTTAAAATGGGAAGTGAGATAACTTGAGGTTATAATTTTGACTCCTCCACTCAAATTGAGTTGATCTTTGGGGGAAATGGGCATTATACCATCTTGTTTTCCTCATCTGTTTATATGGCCACAAATAAGCATTGCTTATTTCTTCACCAGAATATATTGAAGACTAATATGGTATTCTTGCATGTTTTCAATCTTTAGAAAAACAGATTACACATCATTTTCATGGCAGAGTGGTTAAAAAGCAGACCTCAGAGAAAACTAGACCCTGGGTTAAAGTGCTGCCTCAGTCACATAGTAGCTATGTGACTTTGGGCAAGTCGCTTAACCTTGTAGTGTTCCAGGCAACTTTCTAAGGCCATGATTTACAACCCACGTGCTGCCTTTATTGGTAGAAGGAGTTTCCTCATTGGAAGTGCCCCATAATAGCCAAATCATAGGCCAGGACACTCCCTTCTCCCCCTCCATGTCCCTCCAGTCTTTTTGGTTGTCCAAAAAAAAAGAAAAAAAAATGGTTGATGGCTGTGTCAGCTAGAGATTATTCTGGACACAATCTGTTATTGTTGGTGCTAATGTTCAACTATCTTCCCATTTGGGCATTTATAAAAGTGACAGCTTTTAGTTGGATGGTTTTTATTTTGTGATATGTGCTGCTTTATATCTCTGAACTTGAATTTCTTTATCTGTAAAGTGAGGCTGTTGAACTTTGAGCATTCCAGCCTCCTAGTTCTGAATTTCATTGGTTTTATAGTTCTAAATGTTCACCTTCCCTGTTATGTAAACGAGGCTGTCCATGCTGCTGTTTTTAGACAATCATATCTTTAGAAAACACCAGTTGCAGGGGCAGCTAGGTAGCGCAGTGGATAGAGCACCGACCCTGAAGTCAGGAAGACCTGAGTTCAAATCCAGCCACAGACCAGACACTTGACACTTACTAGCTGTGTGAGCCTGGGCAAGTCTCCTAAGCCTGATTGCCTCACCAAAAAGCAAAATAAGCAAAGAGAAAAAAACAAACAAAAAACCCCCACCAGATTCATTGGGCATTTTAATAAGGACCCCTGCTTCTCTATTGACCTTCATTTGTTGTTGGAAGGTAGTTTAGAATTTTATTGATAACTTGTCTTTTTTCTCTCTGCTTATCAATTTGGTTGAACATCTGTCCTCTCTTTTAGAGCTATCTTTCTCTTCTAGATACTCACTTCCTTTTACTCTTAAGACTTTTAAACCTAGTAATTTTCTACCTATTTAACAAAAGTTTTTGATAGCCCTTATTCCTGTTGTCAGGAGTGATGTCAAAAAGTTTCTGTATCACTGGGTCACGTGTCTAGAGGTGTGTGTAAGGCATTGGTGATAAAAAGGGAAAACAAAAGTGCCTGTCCTCATGGAGCTTATGTTTCCCTGTGGGGATAGTATATACACATTGATCCAAGTGCAAGATAATTTGAGGAGGATTAATAACTAGGACAATGTGGGAAGGCTTCCTGTGGGAGGTGACGGCTCCATTGAACTTTGAAGGTATGCTTAGGTTGAGGAGAGTGAGGAGTGAGTACATTTGAGGCATAGTCATAAAGAGGAAATGAAACTATGGGTTTGGGAAACAGCAAGTATTTTGATTGGAATGTAGTTTGTATTCATGAGGAGAAATTTGAAATGTCTAAGAAGTGCTAGAATCATATTGAATAGCTAGGGAGTCTGCTTTTTATCCTAGGGACAACAGGGAGCCGCTGAGATTCTTGAGTGATTTTTGTTGGACCTGTCATTTAGGGAGGTGATTTTTGGCAGCTGTGCAGAAGATGGATTGAAGAAGAAAGATAGTGAACCTGGGAGATCAGTTAGGTTATCGCAGTAGTCCAGGTGAGAAGAGTGAACGTGTGAATTAGTCTGTTTGCCGTGTGAGTGTAGAGAAACGGGAAGATGGGAGGAAGACTGTAGATGACAAGACTTGACAACTCATTGGATACAGGAGAGAAGGAGTGTGAAGAGGTGAAGATGATAAAGAACTTGCCAACTTGGCCTGAAAGGAGAGAGGTAACCCTAACAGAGGTAGAGAAGTGAGTAGGTCAGGCGCAGGTCTATGGAGAAAGATAATGAATTCTATATTCAACGTGCTGAATTCGGCATACCTAGAAGGGCATTTAATTGAAAGTGTCCTTTAGGCAGTTGTTGATGTGGGACTGAAGATTAGATATCTAGATTTGAGAGTCATTTGTGTAGAGATGATGATTGAATCCTTGGGAGCTAATGAGGTGAATGAGGAAGGTGCAGAGAAGAGGAGAAAAGGGGCCTTGGTGGTCATCCAGTGTTTAAGGATGAGATAAAACATATATGTGTGTGTTTATTTGTAATTTTATGATATGACCCTTTGCGCTATAAAGAAGTGTTTATTTTATTTATTTACTTTATTTTTTGTGGATCATCTGTACTATGTGGCAGTATTTGTTTAGCAGAATGTTGCTCAACACTTGTCAACTATGAATTTGTTGGTTTTCATTCATTTCAGTTGTTTCTGACTCTTCATGACCCCTTTTGGGGTTTTCTTAGCAAAGACGCTTGAGTGGTTTGCCATTGCCTTCCCCAGCTCATTTTACAGCTGAGGAAACTGAGGCAAACAGTGCTCCAGGATCACACAGCTAGTGTGTGTTAGTTCAAATCTGCCCTCAGATTTGAACTCAGAAAGTGAATCTTCCTGATTCTAGGCCCATCACTCTATCCACTGAGCCACATAGCTGTTCATACCTAGCTGCCACCATGCATAGATGGGTCTATTCCCAATTCCCAACTCCAACTCATTGCTTTTAATGTTTCATGGAAATAGTAAGTGGCCCTTTATGAAACAAAGGCTAAGCATCTCATGTTCTAGGGCTTGTGGCATTGCAGGTAAAATGATTATAATCTTAAATGATTTGAAGTGCTTTAAAGTTAGTGTACCATCTATATTTGCTAAGTAATTTCAGTAGACTGCTTTTTAAAGGTAAATACTGCTTAGTTTTACAGGTAGTACAGAGGATTCCCATTTGCTAATATAATATGCATGCTAAATCTTTACTTACAGGGTATTGGTATGTTAATATTTTAATAGCTAGAGTTTAATTATCTGTATTTTTGAATATCCCTAGGATCAGTCCTTTCCTGAGCATGAAAATGGTTTTCAAATTGGAATGAGATTAGAAGGCATTGACCCCCAGGATCCATCTAAATTCTTTGTGCTTTCTGTAGCTGAGGTAAGAGAAGTTTATTGTAGTTTCACTGACTGTTCTATAGAAGTTAAAATAAATTCCTAGAGAATAACAGATTGGGTTTTCAGCGCTGGAGCAATTAATTTTATGTCATTTAAAAAAATATCTCAACAAAGATAACCCCAATAGAACCCAATGAAACCATATAATTAAAATTAATTGTATTTTAAAAGAATATTTTTATGTAACAATAGCAATTCTGTTATTCCTTCTGATGTCTTCTTTCTGTAGACATAAAAATATTTTAGTTTTTATGTAGTGTAGATTGTTTACTTTTTCTTAGTTCATATGTATTTCCATATTTCTTTATAGTTCTCATGTTATTGTTAGTGGTTCAGTGTATTTGATATATTGATGTATCAGTTTGTTTAGCTATTTCCTAAGCATTTATATAGATGTTTCCTAGTTTTTCCACTGTTAGAAATAAATTGGCTGTGAATATTTTTATACAAATTAGACTTTTGTTTCTTTTTTTAGTAGACCCTTAGATTGTAACCCTAGGAATTACATCATCAAATCCATGGATCTGATCAGTTTTGTAATTATTATTGTGTATTGCCAGATTGGAGTTGAAAAGGATTTCATTAGGTTACTGTTGCATGTTATTCATTTACTTATTTTGTTTTAGTCAGGGATGGGTGAATGTACGTTTTGTAGTGTGTAGGACATAAGAATAGAACCTTTGATTTCATTGGGGTGAGGAAAGTCCCTCTACCAATGCAAGTTGCACCTCTGGAAGTCTTAGGGAGTTTCCTGAAGCATGTGGAGATTAAATTACTTTTCCGGGCCCATATATCTTGTATATAACAGAAGCCAGGTTCTCCTGACTTCAAGGCCAAATATGACATGCTGCTTCCCAATTCAAAATGAGTAATATCTGGACATATACCACTACATAAACACTTATGCATTTGCTTATACCTATATTACCTTCATTAGGGAGTGCTTAAAGGTCTGACAGTCATAGGTGAATTCTAGACTGCTGATTTTCTCCCTACTACATTTAAGTCTTTAAGCTCAGTTAGTGAGAAATGTGTGAGAGGTGCTATGTTATTGAAACGTGAAAAATGTGTGATGGAAGTAAGTGGCTTGTGAGAAAATATTTACTAAACAAAGTTTACTGCTAAAAGTAAAAATACTGTTTTTTAATTTTAAAAAAATTCCATTATTGGCGTAACAGTCAGCATGAAGATGGTTGTGTAACTGCAGTCAAAAGAAAACCTCCCATACTTTAGCATACTGATAACATTGGTGAATTATTATTATTGCCTTAGTTTCTTCACATTTGTATATTACTTTTTAGTAATCATAGTCAATGTGCATTATTTTTCTAATTCTAATTTCCATTTTTGTTTAATTTCTGTGCTTATTAATTTTGATAGTATTAAATGTAGAGAACATGTTTGTTTTACTAACTTTTTTATTTGTCAAATTGACAAGTACATAGTGCTTGGATAAAGAAGAAATAAGGTGTTTCTGAGGGTACACATCACTGCTCCCCTTTTAAACACAGCATTTGAAATTGTTGGGTCTATACATGAGAGTTTTAAGTATCTTAGCTTATGTAACCCTGGCCTTTCTATATTAGCTGTACCATAGAAGGACTAGAGGCAGTGTTGCTGAGAAGATGGGGCTTGGTATGTTTAAGTTGGTCTTTCAGAGTCACAGTTTAAGAAAAAGGGGCAGCTAGGTGGCACACTGGATGGAGCTGCAGCCTTGGAGTCAGGAAGACCTGAGTTCAAATCTGGCCTCAGACACTTGATGCTTACTATCTGTGTGACCCTGGGCAAGTCACTTAGCCCAGATTGCCTAAGCAAAAAAAGAAGAAGAAGGAGGAGGAGGAGAAAGAGGAAGAGGAGGAGGAGGAAAAAGAAAGATTTTTGAAGAAGGGTCCCAACTCTGTGAACTTACCAGACAAGCCCTTTTTATAACATCTGCATCTGAATATTTGAATTGCCCTCATAAACTAAGTTTTGTGCATCCTTGCCTTGCATACTACTTTCAATTCCACAGATGTGTTTATTAAACCACTACTATGTGAAAGAAATTCTACTTGTCACTGGGACTACAAGTACAAAGAAGAAACCACCATGCCCTCAAGAAGCTTCCATTCTGCTCGATCTTAGTTATATATTCTAGAAATTAAAATAAATCAGATATTATTTTTAAGAAGAGAATAGCCCTTAATAACATATCGCTAATACTTTTACTTGTTGATTTGAGGTAAAAATATTTAGTACTTAGTGAATTTTGCATCTGTCTTAAGCAAAGAAAATTACATCTATTTCCTCACGTCCCATTTTATAGGTATGTGGTTATCGCCTAAGACTTCACTTTGACGGCTATTTAAGCTGCTATGATTTTTGGACCAATGCAGGTTCCCCTGATATTCACCCAGTGGGGTGGTGTGAAAAGACCAAACGTGAATTGCACGTCCCTAAGGGTAAGCGGGGAAATGTTTACCCACTAGAAAGGTGGTCGACTGCTATTTCAGTTCTCCTTTAAACAACATTTCACAAAACATGAACATGAGAGTCCATCATAATATAGTTTCCAAGATGAGAAGAAATCCATATAAGGAGACCTAGTGTCCAACGGTTATTACCATTATAAATTACTTGGAAACACATGCATAATAACATCAAATATGTCAACACATTTTCACTTGAAATGTTGTCATGATGTGACCTAAGTACAAAGCAAGCAAACACTCTGGGTAATGAAAGGAGTACATTTCATTAAGCACTCAATTTTATCATTGATTTGTGACACAGAAACACCAGGACTCTAGCCTAATGAATTCAGGTGTCATACCAAGAGCCAAGCCATACTTAAGAGTCAAGAGACGGTCAGATGCTTGTTCTGACATTTACTAACTCTTCTCGTGGTCAGGTCAACTCATCTCTGTGAGAAGTTACCTCATTTTGTAAAACAGGAGTAATCACTCATCCTTTGCTTATGAAACAAGGTTGTTGGAAATAAGATGACGTCTGTGACCTTTAACATGCTGAAGAAAGAGGCAGTCAGTCAGTCAACATGTATTAAACACCCACTATGGGCCAGGCACGGGGGATTCAAAAAGAGGCAAAATCTCTTGTCCTTAGTGAGGTTACAATCTAATGGCCATTGAAAAAATGGTGAGTTTAGAGTTGGAAGACCTGGATTTTTATTTCAGCTCTTCCATTTAGTGCCCAAGTGACCTCCTTGCCACTCTGGGTCTTGTGTAATTCATCGGCAAAATGAAAGGGGCCGGATTGTTTAGATGATCTCTTCAGCCCCTCCCAGTTCTGAATCCGACATCTCATGCTCCTAAATTAAGCTGTTTGATAAAGATTAACCATTTGTTTGAAAAATGTGTCTCTAATGAGCTATCAAAGAAATAGAAAAAATTGTCATCAGCTGTATTCTTGTAAATTGAATAAGGTAGGAGGTTGTATTGTGTATCTTCATAATGCGGGAGAGGTATAATGGAAGAGATGCCATGAATAGACAGCTAAATATAATTGAGCCTCCCTTGGGCTCAGCTTTATTCTTATGAAAATAGGAGCAAACACACACACACACACACACACATATGCATATATATGTTACGTATATATTATATATACACATATATACATATACATTTACACACACACACACACACACACACACACACACATACAGTGCTTTCTAACTTACAAAGAATTTTGTTCACTGTAAAGCCCTGGGAAGTGCGTATTGCAGTATTGTTACTCTTATTTTACAGATGAGGAAACTGAGACTCAGAGAGGTTAATTTTATTAAGCATAGTCACACAGCTAGTTAATGTCAGAACCAGGCATCTCCTGAGTCTAGTACAACTTCCATTATATTAGACTCTCTTTATTAGTAATTAAGGCAAATTCCAGATGGATGTAAACTCAGTAGAGGTCTACGTTTTTGGTCAGTAAATTGTCAGACAGGCTGTCCTTTTACTAGGTAATTCATTGGAATCTCTGATTTCTAGAAGCCCTTGGATGACCATCATTTCCCTTGGAATTAACTGAAAAGTGACTTCTGGTTGATGTAGATCCTAATGGTTCTTTTCTTCCCAGCTGTCCATTAGACTCTTAGGAGTGGTCTGTAAGAATTGGGGACTAGGGCCGGCTAGGTGGCGCAGTGGATAGAGCACTGGTCCTGAGTTCAAATCCGGCCTCAGACACATAACACCAGCTGTGTGACTCTGGGCAGGTCACTTAACCCCAATTGCCTAAAAAATAAAAAAATAAAAAGAATTGGGGACTAGAGTTCCTCATGCCACTTGATAGGGAACTGGAAATTAATTAACCAGTTAAACAAATACAGTTAATACTGTTCCTGATATGATGATGGGATGGTGGTGGTATGGGGCCAGCATTGATTCTCTGAGTGTCTGGGAACAGTTGGGTTCAACTCCTTGACAAGATGTCTGAGAGTTTTTGGAAAGCCTTCCTGGTAGTCATCATATCTTTCTGCCTACTTGAGAACTATTTAATGATTGGTTTGGATGTCTAAGGACCTAGGACTGATTGACTTGTAGTAGGAAATGATTTCTGTACATGAAGAAAATTCGGGTGACCAGTTTTACATTTTATGAATTAGATCTTTGAATGAATTAGAGACTCTAGATGCCTAATAGATAAATCCATAGATTTCCTGTAAGTCAGAGAAATGTAGGCAAGAAGATTTTTAAAATTGGAATAAAAATAACAATTATTAATTCAATAACCATGTGCACGGTATTTATAAAACTTTTCATTTCCATTAGGTTACAAAAAGGACAAGGTTACTTGTACGGACAACTTGAAGACCTCTAAATTACAGAATGCTCCCAAGAAACTGTTCCTAAGCAGAAGTGTGGTAAGTATCTACTTTAATATAAATCAGGCTACTTTTTTTCGAATCCCAGGTTTCCTGAGTATTTTATAGTTTGCTACATTGATGGTCATCCTAATAGCTAATGCGTAGGTCACAAACTAGTGTACAAGCATAGTATACATAGTATTCATGTACAGTTAGTAAGTGTTGAGAGGCAGGATTTGAACCTGGATCTGTCCTGACCTACAAGTTCAGCATTGGGCAGTATGGTAGCAGGGGTAGGGAACCTGCCGCCTTGAGGCCACATGTAACCCTCTGGGTCCTCAAGTGTGGCCCTTTAATCTGTTCTGTGAAGTTTGGATTCAGTCAAGGGGCCGCACTTGAAGACCTAGAGGGCCACATGTGGCCTCGAGGCTGCAGGTTCCCTACCCCTGCTACCATACCGCCTCTGTTGATGATTCTTTAAGAATTCATTTTTCTGCCTTTCATTTTTTTTTTCTCCAACTTAAAAACCAACCATTTCTCTGGGCAGTATCAGTTTTTCTTAACAGAATAATTTAAATATGGAAAGTAAATGAGCCATAGGTAAAAGGGATTACATTTGAGGATACTTAAAAATTACAGGTCTCATTTCAAAATGTGTTCATTCCCAATAGTTCATACTGCAAATTGACCTATGTATGAGGTGGTGTGTTTTTCAAACCAGTGTAGATTTTTTCAGGTAGACAGAATGTATCTAGAAAAGTTGTGCTTAATATTATAAAAACTAGCATGGTTTTCTCCCCTTTGGGTGGACAAGTTCCAGATGCCATTTCTGCCTCTGTCTGTTACTTTTCTCCAGGAATTGTCATTGCCAGAAGTGTCTCCAGATTCTTCAGCAGTTTGAACTCTAGGTGATGAAATGAACTCATGAAACTGAAAAGCACAAAGTGCTCCTTTCTCCTGGGTAGTCAACGTGGTGGTAGAGTAATGAAAAATGGCTCAGGAGACAATTAGCATCACTTATTTCATAGACTGCCTCAACATTAATTTGACTCCTAGACCTCTGAATGCAAGATCTGTTTTCGATGACAAAGAAGATATGCTACTACAGGAACTGAAACTCATCAATGTTCGTATTATTATAGGAAATGAAATCAGAAGATATAAATAACTTGCAGTGACATGGAAAAATGGGTCACAGATTTTCCTTGGAGAGAAAAATAAAGGAGTTAGCTTAGAAGCTTTCTTTGGGTTGTGAGGTATGAGTGATGGTTTTAGAGTCAAAGGATCTATGTTTAAATTCTGTCCCTCTCACTTAGGATGATACTTAATCTCTGTGCCTCAGTTTCCTCATTTGCAAGATAAAGAATTTGAACTAGATGGATGTTAAGGTTCCTTCCAACTAGGTCTGTGATCCTAGGAGAATTATGTCTCCAAAAGCATCAAGATTATATCATTACATAGAATATTTGGTTCTCTGGCCTTGTAATACCCCTACACATTGCCAGAGGTAGCTCAGTGTTTGGGAGGCTCCAAAGGAAAGTGTGGGAGAGGAAAGGTGTTGGACTGACCACCAAACTGAAGGTCTACAGAATTGTTATGCTGCCCTTATTGTTGCATGCCTGTGAGACCTGGACAGTATACCAATGCCATGCTAGGAGACTATATCACTTCTGTTTGAATTGTCTTAGGAAGATTCTGTAGGTCACCTAACAAGAAAAGTACTATATATTGATGTCTTTTCTCGAGCTAAACTGCCAAGCATTCAAACTCTACTACAAAGAGCCCAACTCCAATGGACTGGCCATGGTGTTTAAATGCCATAAGTATGTTTGCCTAAAAGATTATTTTATGGAGAACTCATGCAAGGCAAATTCTCACATGCGATACATAGACACTCTCAAGGTCTCTCTGAAGAACTTTGCAATTGATTGCTGGCAAAGGACCACCCCGAATGGTGTACCCACATCAAAGAAGGTGTTGTGCTCTGTGAGCAAAGTAGAATCGAAGTAGCTCAAAAGAAATGCAAGATGCACAGATTTAGAGAATCCTCCCCCAAATGTTCCCATGCACTATTTGTGCCTGTCCTGTGATAGAGCATTCTGAGTTCATATTGGTTTGATTTGCCACAGTGAGACACACTATAATTTGACTCTACCATAGTGATATTATTTTGGTCCTCTGCAAGAATGAAGGACAACCAACCAATTTATAAGTGTAAGAAAAATGACTCCTATGAAGATTATTGTAGTTTTTGCATCAAAATCTGTTATAAAGGTTGAAGAAGTTGAACAGTTTTATAAAAAGCTAGAAAATGTTCCTAGACAAAGTCAGCTTTTATCTTCCTTCTTGATGTCTTCCATGGGAAGGCAAATATTAGGCAGCACAAGAAAGGCAAAAAAGAAAAAAAAGTGATTCTGGGTTAAGAGAGGAAAGGCTACATGCCTTTTAGAAGACTTAGAAACCTAAGGAACTCAAATAGGATGGAAAAAATTTTTCAGTATTTCTGGTCTCTCTTTTGTAAATTAACAAGTATATATTCTCTATGTTGCCCACTTCCCACTCCGTCTTTAAAAATAAAACAAAGCATAACTAATAACAAATATGCATAGGCAAGCAAAATAAATTCCCACATTAGACATGTCTAAAAATGGATGTCTCTTTCTGTATCCTGAGTTAATTATCTTTGTGTCAGGGGGTGGGTAGCCTGCTTCATCATTGGTCCTTTGAAGTTATGATTGGGGATTGCATTGATCACCTTAAGTTTTTAAGTCCTAAAGTTGTCTTTGTTTTTCAGTATTATTATTGTCTTATAAGTTGTTCTGGTTCTTATTTCACTTTTATATCAATTCCTAACAAGTCTTCCAAAGTTTCCCCTGAAATCACCTGTTTCATCATTTCAGGAAAATAATATTCTATTACATTCAGGTACCATACTTTGTTCAGCTATCCCCAGATTGATAGGTTGGGCATAATCCTATAGGAGAAAAATGTACCTTTAATGAAATAGCACTCTGTTGTCATCATCAGTTACAGTGGAAGCACCACGTTGAGGCTATTGCTATAGGATATCTTATATCAGGAAGTGAAAATTAAAAAGATAAGGTCAAGAATAACATGTAGGCCAAGTTTGTGTTGAGTGTATGAAGCCTGTGTTGGAGATGACAAGGAAATAAAGAAACATTAATTTTAGAGTTATCTCAAGGCTGGCAGATGGTTTAAAAATATGGAAAAGCTCTTGGATTACTTTGTTATTCAAAAATGGTGATGTTGAAAGTATTAGTAACTACTGAACCATGTGATATAACTTTATTTTCCCTGTAAAACCTTCATGAGAACTATCTATTAACCAATCAATAGGCCCATGAGCGTATTGAGGACATAATTGATAAAAATGCAAGAAGGAAAAGGCCATATGTAATTTGGCAAATAATTTTCCACAGCCAATTGCATCTTATATGTAATTTGCTTAAACTTGACTGAGAGGGTTAGACAAGATGAGATCCTACTGTGTTTATTGTTTGTGATTAAAAACTAAATTGACTTTCTAGAGTAGCAAAGCACAGCCTTAAGAACTCTCTTTCCAGCCCTGTGCCTCCTCTGTCTATATCAAGATCAAACAAGATTCTGAGACAGATGCAATTGCCATAACAAACAAGGTAGAAAGTAGGGAAGTGTGTTCTTGATCAAGGTGTTGGTAGTATCATGTGGGATATACTGAGCAAACTATAAATGGAAGAATTTTACTATCAATGGAGGGCATCTTTATCTATGTCTCTTAAAAGATACTGCTCTTACTTATATAAAGCTATAGGATCCTACAGAAGGGGCAGCTAGGTGGTGTATAGATAGAGCGCTAGGCCTGAAGTCAGGAAGACTTATCTTTCTTGGTTCAAAAATGGCCTCAGACACTTACTATCTGTGACCTAGGCAAGTTGCTTACCCCCTTTTGCCTGGGTTTCCTCATCTGTAAACTGAGCTGGAGAAGAAAAGGGCACACCTTTCCAGTATCTGCCAAGGAAACCCCAAATGGGGTCATGAAAGACGTGACTGAAAAATGACTGAAGGACAGCATGATCTTACAGAGAATGTATATTACATAGATTTTGAAATGAAGTTGAATAGTTAGTCCATTTAATCCATTAGTACATATGTCTTGGACAGACACTTGAAATGGAGAAGAAAATCTGCTTTTGAATTGAATAGAAAGAGAAAGGATCCACCAAATTTTGTACATTCAGGGCATAGATTCTGTGAGGAGGGAGGTAGGATTTTCCTTGGGCCGTCACTCCATTCATGCTGCCTTGAAAACCTATAGAGGTGAGAAGGGAAATGACAATCTTCTAATCTGGTGACGGTGGCTTTACCTTACTGACCTAGTACCAGGGTGGGGAACCTGTGGCCTTCCAGGTCCTTGGGTGTGGTCTTTGGATTGAGTCCAGGTTTTACAGAACAAATCCTTTTATTAAGGGGATTTGTTCAGTGAAGTTTGGATTCAGCCAAAGGGCTGCACTTGAGGACCTAGAGGGCCACATATGGCTTCGAGGCCACAAGTTCCACCCCCACCCCCCACACCCCTAGTATAAATAGTATATGTTGGAAATTAGGAAAACAAGTTTCTTTTCCTGGTTCTACTTCTTGCTAGTTGGATGTCTTTGGTTGTAGGCATCTCAGTTCTTTGTGCATCAGTTTCCCTTTGTTTGGCATGAAGATGTTAATATCTACTCTGCATACTGCAGAGGGCTTTTGTGAAGATTTGGTGAGTTATGTGTGAGAGCATCCAGGAATCCTTCAGTGCAGACAGCTTTCTTTCGCCTCCAGTGCCCACTATTTCCCATGGACCTAAGAATTCAGAAATGGCATTTATGTTGTTAAAGCCATTTTTGGAAATTACATTGCAATTTCAAATCTGGGTATAGAGCTTGTATGCAGGTAAAGTGTGCCCTTCTGAAACCTGAAAATGAATTCTAGTCATGAGCAAATGCTAGAAACTTTCCCACTAATTTTTGGAAATGCAGTTTAAATTTGGAGGGAGTCCACATAATTTTCAAGAACAAGCAGTCAGATTATTTAACTTTTGTTTTGAAGTGACTGAAGTGCATGCCTTACATATTTTATAACTTTTGTTTTAGTTAAAAGACTGTTCTTTTTTAAAGCCACTACTGCTTTCAGTAATCCTAAGTTGTTTTTTTTTTTTCAATCTAATTTGAGTAAGAACTGCAAAGAAGGATAATTAAGTGAAGGAAAAAATAACCCACCAAATAAATGCTTCTGCTTCCAGAGTCAGAAAAACTTTAAACTTAGCCTCAGACCTTACTTACTCTGAGCAAGTCACAGAGTCACTTCCAGCCTCAGTTTCCTTATCTGTAAAATGGGTGTAATGATAGTTTTTTATTATTATAAATGCCTCCCAGATTTTTGGGGAGATAAAGTGGGTTATTTTTAAATGTTTTGCAAACCTCAAAGTGCTATAAAAATTGCTTGCTATGATTAACAGAAGGAAACCATAAAATAAAAACTAGGTTTCACATGATTATAACGACTCTATATGTTATACTAGCCTGTTTGCACAGTCTTTACTGGAATATTCTTAGCTCTATTCCAGAAGATAAGGAATGAAATGTAGCAGAAATCATGGAATTTTTAAAAAAATATATTAGTTTAGTTCTCTTTCATGCTGTCTTTAAAATGTATTTCCATGGCGATGCTTTGCTAGATTGAAACTCCAGCAGAAGAACTTCGGGTAGGAATGAAGCTTGAAGCGGTTGACAGGAAGAACCCTTCCTTGGTGTGTGTGGCCACCATCGCAGATATTGTTGGAGATCGCCTGCTTGTTCACTTTGACAACTGGGATGACAGCTACGATTATTGGTGAGGAACCTGTCCTTGTTCATCTAAAATATTGTGACTTCCCACTTATCCTGGCACTGATATGGGAGAATGATGGACTCCTCCCACCAATTTGGGAGCTGTCTACAGAGATGAGGAGAGGGGTCAGCCGACCTTCCAAATGCCCAGTGAGTGCATGAAGCCCTCTGGATAGATGTTGTAAGGTTTTCAGTGAGACGTACCAGTGCACCATTTTACTGGTAAAGATAATCAGGTGTGATCCATATTCAGATAAAGTTGAATGCTCAGTGATGATAGAACCATGGGAGAAGTTGGCTGCCTTTTTCACTCTTTCTTCCTCTTCTCTCCTGAGAGTTGAATCATAGAACTTATTTTCCCCCTGTATGATGAGATAGACTACTAATGGTGTCATATTTGAATTAATGTGTATAGTTCAAGTCATCTTGTTACATTTTGTCTAGTTGGTAAAGAGAACATTCTTGTGAAGCAGTATTCTAGAATTTCATTTTTCCCCCCAAAATTTTGAGAAATAGTTCTGCTGCCTGTTAGAGAAGATAAAAATTAAAGTGGTAAATGAGTTCTTCGGAAGCCTAAAGAAAGCAGAGAACATAGATCATATAATGACATTAAGCTAACATAGTATTAGAAAGGAGGGATGGTATTTCTGAGCTACAGCGCTAAATAAGGAAGAAGTTGTCATTAAAATAATTTTCTAGCACTGTTTTCCAGAATATAATATGTAATAAAAGAGCTACTTCTTCTGAAAATGACTAAACCTGTACAAATTTTGATTGTACGATGAATGTAAGATGAAATGAGAGCATCATGCAGAATGTAGGTTTGAGGTAGGGAAGGACATTGTTGGTGGTTTGTGTTATATAAAGATTGGTGAGACCTCAGATAAAGTTATGGCTTACTAAGGCAAAGTTATTCAACGTACAAGATGTTTAATACAAGGTAGCATACATAAAGCTGTTTTTGATCATCTGTAATTTTAAGATAATTGCTCTTGATATCCATCATCAATCTTGAACTCTTTCTCTTACTTTAGTTAGAAGAGTACTCTATTTAGAGTAATATTGTATATTTTTGGCAGGTGTGATATTCATAGTCCTTTTATTCAACCAATTGGATGGTGTCAGAAAAATGCAAGAACTCTGATAGCACCCCAAGGTGAGTGTGTCCTCTCTTTTTTCTGTGCCATAGTTACAGTGTGAAGGACAGACTCCAAAGTATGTTTTGGGATATGCAAAGTTAATTCTAGCAGCAACAAAAACAGAATAAAACGAGACAAGATCAACTACGCTCTTTAGTAGCAAGTGGTTGAAATCTTCCTACTCCCCCTATTAACACCACCCACCCAACCTGCAATTATGAGATTATAAGGCAAAGTAGGAAGTCATTTAAAACAAACAGTGCTTCAACTAGTGACCACGCTGAATGTGAAATTTTGTGAGATGCGCTGGATGACATAGTGAAAGATGAAGGTGGCTTTGGCATCAGAAGGCCAAAGAACCTTACTTTTAACACATATAACTAGTTAGCACATGTCTTGCCAGGCCTATCTGACCCTTAGTTTCCATATCTTTAAAGTGGAGATAGGTAGCTAGATGGTACAGTGAATAGAGCATGGGGCATGGAGTTAGGAAAACTTATCTTCCTGAGTTCAAATCTAGCGTTAGACATTAGTCACATCACCCTGTCTGCCTCAGTTTCCTCATCTGTAAAATGAGCTGGAGAAGGAAATGGCAAATCAGCCCCAAATGGGATCACAGAGATCAGACATGCCTGAAACAACTGAATAACAACAACAAAAAAGGGAGATAATAATATCACCTATAGTAATGTTGTGAGAAAAATCTTACGTGATATACTAGTGAATTATTATTATTATTCTTTTGTAAATTAGTCACCATGATATGATGGCTAGGCAGTTACAACTTATAATAACCAATTTTATCATTGTGTGTTCATACACTTATCATTCTATCCAAGTCAGTTTTGGTAGCAATGTCAAGCACATGGAAATGTATGGAAATCTAGGAAAAGAGGAGCCATGTGACTTAATAACATTGACTCTGGCAGCATGGGACCTGACTTAAAGTCCTGCCTATAATATTTTCTACTTGTGTGACCATGAGCAATTTACTTAACCTCTCTGGGCCTCAGTTTCCTCACTTGTAAAAGCAAGGCTTTGTATTAGATGACCTCTGATATCCCTTTTAATTTTAAATCTGTGACCTAATGTAAAAGCTCAGACTCAGTTCACCAAGCCAATTTAGAAGTCTCTTAATGGGTTAGCTAAATTAATGAGAACTCTTTCAAAGGACTTTTAAAAGGCCACAAAGTTGATCAAAGAGTTGACACATTATCAAGAATCCCTTGAAAAAATGATCCGTTAATGCCTTTGCCATTTTTGCATCTGGCACGCAACAAAAAATGAGTTGTGTGTGGTAGCTATCTATTTAATCTTAGCATGATATTTAAATAACGGTTCACAAGGGAGAAAATGTAACTTTTAATTTAAATACAGATCCCATATCAACTGTTCTCTGGTGGACATACTGTTCTAAAAATATCCAGAACACATCCAGAAGTTCGTTTTGTAATTCTAAAGACTTTATGAAAAATGGCTATTCACTAAGAAACTGAAGATATTTAAGCCTGTTACATGTGTCAAGAAGGATCTTCCAGGACAAATAATTATTTACTCAATCTGATTTAGATAAATCACTCTTATATTGAGTCCCTTGTCCTGTATCTCTGTAAAAAATGGCTAAAGCTAACTTTAGTATAATCCACTTTAAGATGAGCTGACGATTTTGTCAGATCTCAAAATATACATAGTTGTTCTAGTTGGAGTTAGCAAGATATTCCTTCCACTTTCTGTACTGATGATTACCCTCCCTACTCATTTCACATTGCTCTTGTTGTCCCCAGGGGATAAAATTTGGTACTCAAAAAAAACTCAAGTTAAAGTCCATCATCCTCATCTCTTGGCACTGAGAAGATCTAGAAATAGTTTCCATAACACATTAAAGAGATAGAAACAAAGTCACCATCATTGTTGTCATGAGCCAAGAGCAGAATGATGGGGGGGGGGGAAATCTTGTTATTGCAGAGACTCTAGAGCCCTGGAGGGATGTGAGTAATAAAGTGGATCAGTTAGTTTGTGAAAATGAATAAATTATTGAGTTCAACTCGGTTTTATGCTGTTGAGGGGGAGGAGTAATGCCTTCCTCTAACCATCATACCTTAGTTTGCTTTCAAATAGGTTGGAAGCTCTCCACTAAGGCTCCATAGAATGTTAAGTTTAAAAAAAGAAAAATAGAAACTGCCAAGTTTGCAGTTTTCTGTCTTCCATGAGTACTTGGCAGTTATAGTGCATTGTTCCTTGGCTCTGGCCATAGCTATACCCTGCAGTATTAAAAGAAACGAAAGCCTTCCTTCTCACAGCTAGGCAAAAGGATATCTAATCTTTCAAAATCAACAAAAAAGGAGAACAACGTGAAGACAGTGAACCTTAAATTTGGCATTGGTAACCACAGACGAGGAGAAGGCAGAGAAACTTCTCCTCCTCCCGCTCTTATAAGTCTTGATGTCTAAGGTGCCACTTCTCACTTCCCTTTCAGTATCTCATCGGTTTTAAAACATCTGGGGTCGCTCTCGAAACTGAGAACAGCTTAAAAGAGGGTTCAGTAGAGACCAGCTGAGATGCCAAGCTTTGTGTAGGAAATGAAAGTGAGACCACTGGTATGTTCTTAGATCCTGTAGAGACCTTAGAGGTCATATCGTTTAACCCTCTTATTTTACAGATGAGGAAACTGAGGTCCAGAGAGGTCAAATGACTTGCAGGTAGGGGTTGTTTCATTCCCTGTATTTTATATCCTCAGCACTTTTCACGTCTTCCCCACAGAGTTGCTTGTTGCCCGTTGTACTTGAAGACATCACTATGTTGGGGTTAGTGTACAGTATGTCCAGCTACGGCTGATCAGACCAGTATGAGCTTGGAAGGCTCTGTCACAGGCCAGGCACAAAGAGTCCATAGGAACATTTGGAAGGGAGATGTCTCTAAATTTGAGCATCCCACGTTTCTTTTGAGCTACTGCAGTTCTGCTTTGCAACTCAGGTGTTTGGTAAATGCTTGTTTATTTATTGTGGTCATACAAGTGGTCTTACAGTGGCAGAGCTATGATGCAAACTCATGTCCCACAATTTCACATTCAAAAGTCCACATACAGTGCTCTTTCTGCTGCTCCAGTATCCTGCTGATGTGTCTTAGAAGCTACCTGTGAGGCTGAAATGACCTAAATTCCTCCATAATGCTAGTGCCTTCTCTGTCATTATCTCCAATTTATCATCTTATTTGTGTATAGTTGTTTGCGTGTTACCTCCTGCATTAGACTCTGAGCTCTTTGAGACAGACATTTGTTTATTTTCCTTTTTTCATATCCTTAGTGCTTAGCTTGATGCCTTGCATATTTGTTGTCTTTTTTCAGTGTGTCCCTCTCTCCATGACCCCATTTGGGGTTTTCTTGGCAGAGATAATAGAGTGATTTGCTATTTCCTTCTCCAACTCATTTTATAGATAAGGAAACTGAGGTAAACATAGTTAAGTCACTTGCCCAGCGTCACATAGCTAGTAAGTAAGTGAGGCCAGATTTGAACTCAGGAAAATGAGTCTTCCTGACTTCAGGCCCGGTACTCTCTCCGCTATGCCACCTTGCATATAGTAAGGGCTTAATAAATGTTTAACAACTTGAGATGAGTGGCAACAAATAATTTCCATATTTCAATGGCTTTTGCTATTTATCAAGGCTTAGACTTCTTTGTCTCTCTTAGCAGTTAGGATAAATTGGAGAAAATGCCTATTGTGTTTCTGGTCTTAAAAGCTTAAGTTCACTCCATAGCAACCTGCTTACTAACTTTGATCTTGGATTCCTTTTGCCTGGGGATAAGGTCTGGGAATGGTGTCCTTAAGTCTTAATTTACTGTTCAGAAGAGTAGTACCCTTTGCTGCTAAGAATTCATGCTTTTTATGTCATTTGATACCATGATGAGAATATCATCTCCTTTGTCGTATCACATTCTGTTCAGGACTGCACAGGGAAGAAGGTTGTCTTGAGCCAGTGTCCAATTCAGTCTTCCTAAATAAGGCTAAGCCCTTCTCCACATAACAGGATTTGAGCTGTTCTCTTCAATTTAAAGAAATTGGAGAGTTGACAACTATGGTAATCTGAAGATCCATATGTATGGCAAAGGCGGTTGGACACATTTATCCATTTGGCTGGTTCATTGGAATATGTCTGAAATCTGGTCCTTGTCATTTGCACAAAATCCCCCCTGGATTAAGGATCATAATTTTAGAAGGTCGTCTAGTTCAACCTCTTCATTTTACAGATGGGAAAGCTAAGGCTCAGAGAGATATGAGTATACTTGCAGAAGTGGATTTTAAACCCAGGTTTCCTAATCTAAGGCTAAAATCCATTGCAGTTCCAAAGATTACATAATAGTTTATAGCAAAAATTCTTACTGTTCAGACCCGAAATATGGTTTTTATATATTTTGTCTTCCAGTAGAATATAAGACCCTTGATGACAATTAAAATCAACAGGAATTTTTTTTCATCTTTTTTATAGGTAGATGCTTAAAACATGCTTGTTGAATTGCATGAAATTGAATAAAATCAAATCTCAGCTGATGTGGATGAATTTACAGAAATTATAAAATTATACTTTTGAAATGTCAAAAAGCATCTCAAAAATTATTGAAAGAGGACTGTCTTCCTAAACTTATTTTAAAGTGTTTCTGCCTTATTTTTTTCTATCATATTATCATTCAAACTTTGTGTTCTAAGTCATTCCTTAGACTAGGACTGCCTGAATCTTGGTTTCTGTTGACTTAAGTGTATGTAACTCACAAGAAATATTAGGCAATGTCCACATCAGTGATTTTCTTCTTAGAATCTTTGGATGAATGATTTGGTAACTATAGTTATTTTCCTAAAAGTCAGTGAGTTTTTCCTGTCATAATTTTAAGCCTATGGATTTTTTTATATCAAATTATGTTTTATGGTTGCAATTACACTGTTGTCAGAAAAACGTATTTGCTTTATCAGTCACAGCTTATAGCTAATTGCTCTTCTGAGAGCAATTACAGAATTTGAAAGTATAACAGCGTGTGGTTTCCCCTGGTAAATATTTCAGTTCTTTTAGGTTTGAGATAAGATATCCTAAGGAAAAATAGGTCAGTTTTAAAGAATTTAAATCACAAAAATAAAGAAGTTTTACACTTTCATAAATTCACTTTAGTGTGATGTTCTCTAAAATCTTTTAGTGAAGACTCACAAATCTTACAGATACCTTCTTAATTTTTAGGGGCCAATTTGCTTAAAATTTGGGTTCAATTCTTTTATAAGAAATGGAGTTAAAATTATATTAACTCAAATAGCAAAGGTCTTATCAGGAGGAAAATGTTGTTGCCTAATAGGGGCTGTTGAATTGCCTAGTAAGAGTCCCCTTGACTCCTTGAAGCTTCCTTTAATTACAAGATCCTTGAATGGGTTGTGTTCTATGTGCCTCTGCTAGGTGTTTTTAAAAAATATTATCTTATTTGATTCTCACAGCAACTTTGTAAGGTAGGTGCTGTTATTATCTCCATTTTACAGTTAAGGAAACTAAAGCAGAGGGTTAAGTGACTTGTTCAGGGTCATGCAGCTACATTTTGAGGCCAGATTTGAACTCAGGTTTCCTGGCTTCCAGGCCTGGTACTCTATCCACTGTTCTACCATCTGTCCCTGTAGTACTGTTTTTTGGTAAAAGAATAGTTATGTCATTATTACCTACTGTTGTTTTCAATATTATTTAGTACGTGTAAGAAAAGTTAATGTCTCAGTGGTTTCATGATCACTGTTCTTCCCCTCTCTCTCTCTCATAGGTCATCCTGATCCAGAAAATTTTTCTTGGGCAGACTACTTGGAAACTACTCAATCTTCTGCAGTTCCAGTCAAAGCTTTTAACATGGTTAGTGTGTGTGGGTGTGGGTGTAGGTGTGTCCCTAGGCCAATTTTTAAGACTGTAAATTACAAAGGAATTGCTGATGTGCTCGAGTGCACATACATATTGGGAGTTCTCTACACTGATGAATCACAGATTCTGACCAAAACCCACTTTTCCCTCTCAAAAAAAAAAACAGACCAAAAAAACCAAAACCCCAAAACAAACTAAACCTGATTGCTTATCATATTAGGTATTGAATTTTGTGTGACAGGTTTAGAAAAGTTAATTTTAACAACTGAATTCGATAAACATTCACTGCCTTCTATGTTCAAGACACTGTGTTGAGTGCTTAGGATACAAGTAGAAATTAAAAAGTCCTTACCCTCAAGGAGTTTATGTTGCATTGGACCATGAAACTTGTGTACAGATAAATTACATAGTGGCTAGAGTGCCGGTCCTGGAGTCAGGAAGACCTGAGTTCAAATCTGGCCTCAGACACTTACTACCTGTGTGACCCTGGGCACATCACTTACCTATGTTTGCCTCAGTTTCTCATCTGTAGAATGAGCTGGAGAAGGAAATGGCAAATCACTCTAGTGCCTTTTCCCAGAAAACTCCAAATAGGGTCATGAAGAATTGGACACAAGTGAAAAATGACTAAATAGCAACAACAGATTCAAAATGGAAAGAAGAATAGCATGGGGTCAAGAAAAGCCTCCCAGAGCAGAGGCAACTTAGCTGGGGTTTGAAGGGCACTACAGTCTAACTAGGTAAAGCTAAGAAGTGAGTGCATTTCACACGTGGGGGTCCAAGGGGCAGAGATGGAACCTAGAATATCATATACTAGGAAGAGTTAGCAAGAGTGTTTACCTGGAATAGAAGATGTCTGAAGGGGGGTGATAGAATCCTGGAAAGCATGGAAGGCAGTACTCTTTAAATGCCAGGCTGAAGATTTTGTGTTTTATCTTAGAGGATAAATAGGAAGTCACTAAAATCTCTAGGGTACAGGAATGACATGTTCAGATCTTTGTTTTAGGAATTGAGCTATGTGGATGATGGATTACGAGCAAGCAGAGACTAGACTCGGGAAATCTCTAGGAGACTTTAGGAAGCTCTGCAGTAATTTAAGTGAGAGGTAATGAGGGTTTGGGACAGCTAAATGGTACAGTGGATAAAGCATCAGGCCTGGAGTTAGGAAGACTCATCTTTCTGAGTTCAAATCTAGCCTCAGGTACTTACTAGTTCTGAGTTCCTGAGCAAGTCACTTACTCCCATTTGCTTCAGTTTCATCATCTGTAAAATATAATGCAGAAGGAAATGGCAAACCTGCCAAAAAAAAAAAACCCAAATGGGGTCAGGAATAGTTGGCAACAGCTGAAAAATGACTAAACAAAAAAAAAATGAGAGTTTGAACTAGAGTGGTTACTGTGTAAGAGGAGAAAGGGGGTCATAGATCTAGTGGACATTTTTAATATAGAATTGACAAGACTTGATGACTGACTGAATTTGGGGAATAACGAGAGGGAAGAAATAACGAAAGATGACTCCAGCTTTCTGAATCCATACAACTACAAAAATGACAGTGCCCTCAACAGAAATTGGCAAGTTTGTTGAAGTTTTCCAGTAAGAAAATTAATTACATCCAAGTGAAGATTCTCAGCAGGCAGTTGACAATCTAAAATGAGTTAGGAGATATATTATTATTGGGTGTATGCATTTGGGAGTCCTCTGCATAAGGCTGATAATTAAATACATGAAAATGGATGCAGTCGCCAGCCATGAGATTAGACTGAGAGAAGAGGAGATATGGTCCGGAGAGAGTATTGTGGGATGGTCCTGTTTCGTGGTCAGAATATGGATAATGATCCAGAAAAAGATGCTAAGCTAAAATGGGCGTACGGATTGAAATAGAATCTAGAGATAATAGTGTCACAGTATCCAAGGGAAGATAGAACGTTCTGGATTTTAAGTTCTGCTAAAAAAGATAGCCAAAATTTAAACATTATGTGTGGAGATTGGAGAGGAGGACTGAATCATCTGGAAAACCAATGTAAAGGATTCCTTAACTAGATTTCTTTCCCCTTGCATTTATCTTTTAAGAAAAAACAACCATTTGATAGGAAATAATTAGTTTGTACTTTTATCCAAAAAGAATATAGCTAAAAGAATATAGCCTTCTAAGCTATATTCTTCTAATCTAATAACATGTCTTGTTTGTTCTTTACAATGGATGAAATAAGCTTTTCCTAACTTATTGCTCCAGTCCCATCACTTATCTTATTCAAAAGCCTTCAGCCTCTTTTGAATTATGTTACAGATCCCTTATTCTGCTATTCAAGACCCTCTACAGTCTGGTTTCCTATCTCTATATCACTCTATGTCACTCTGTTCCTGTTTATATAGTCTGTATTCTAGCTAAACTAGATTATTCCTTAATCTCATTCTCCATTTCTCATTTTTATCACTTTCCCTACTCCAAACTACATTGCTGCCTTTATCACTGTTGCCATGATGATTTTGATGATTCCTGGTCAATTGGACATGATCTCTCTCTCTCTCTCTCTCTCTCTCTCTCTCTCTCTCTCTCTCTCTCTCTCTCTCTCTCTCTCTGTCTCTTTTTCTCTCTCTCTCATAAGACTTTCTTTAGATTTTTCCCATGTGCCTCCCGCATTATTCTTTGTATCACATTTATGCATATGTCTAATCCCCCCATTATACAGGGTGTTTAGACTTTAATAACTCAAGTTTACCTTAAGACTTTTGAGGCACCCTGTCCTATAAGTTCTTTCATGGCCAGAACTGCACCTTAGTTGATGTTTCTGTCTGTCCCCAGTGCCATGTACATAGTATGGGGTTAAGAAATATTTAGTGAATTGATTTAGAGTCAGCATAGATTCATCTGAGTCACAAAATGTTAGAATTAGACCTTCTAGTGCAACCTCTACTTGAACAAGATTCTGCCCCATAACATTGCCCAACAAATGGTTGTCCAGCCTTTTCTTAAACACTTCCAGTGAGGCCAAACACTTTAACTCCCAAAACATCCCATTACATTTCTGGTTAGCTCTTATTTCATAGGAACATTTTCCTTATATCATATCTAAGTGTTTTCTCTTTTGCAATTTCCATCCATTTAATTCTATCCTTCAGGGTCAAGCAAGGCAAGTCTAATACTTCTTCTCTATGCCAGCCCTTCAGATATATGAGGGAATTACCATGTTCCCCCTGTATCTTTGCTTCTTCCTCCTAAACATCTCAAATTTATTCAACCAATACTCAAGTCAAATGAATTTCATCATTCTGTTTATTCTCCCTTTTTACATTCTCCAATTTGTCAGTGTCCATCATAAAATGTGGTGCCTACATCTGAACATAGTCCTTCTGTTATGATCTATTAAGGACGAAGTATGGAAGGAATGTAACCTGTGTTGTAAAATAATTGATGTTGATAATGATGCCTTAGTTTACTCCAGAACATAATCTTTGAACAAAGATAGCTCTACTTGGTCAGGCTGTATGCTATTCAGTTGCATTTTTGGAAGAGTTATAATGAAGATCCAATTCAGTGAACATCTAAGCACTACTGCAAGGCCCTGGTAATACAAAGCCCTTCAACACTTTGCAGTTAAATAAAGAATCTGCATAATTATTACAATCCAAAAGAATGTAATAAGGACAAAAAAGTGGCCTAAATAGAGTGCTATGCAAAATTTAGAAAGAAAATGATAGGGAGATTAATTTTGAGCTAGTTGGGCTCCTAGAAGCCATGGAGTCTGACTTCTTCATTTTATAGATGAGGAAACTGAGGCAAGAAAGATTTAAATGACTTGCCAAAGGTTGCACAGCTAATATTGGTTTGAGGTAGGACTTGAACCTTGGTCTTCCTGAGCCCAAGTTCATTGCAACATCTACTTCTTTAGCAGTGCTCAGACTTTTTGGTCTCAGGACCTCTTTATACTTTTACAAATTGATATGGGACTGGAACTTTTGCTTACATGTGTTTTGTCTATTGATAGTTACTGTATTAGAAATTAAAATATTTAAAGTTTTAAAATATTTATTAATTCATTTAAAAAGCATAATAAACCCATTATATGTTAAAATAAATACATTTTTGGACAAAAATGAACTATTTTTCAAAACATAAATTGAGAAATGAGTGGCATTATTTTACATATTTTTGCAAATTTAATGTCTGGCTTTTAGAAGACAGATGGATTTTTATAATCTGCTTATGCATTCATTTTGTTGTGATAGGTTGTTTTGGTTCAATTTGATGAAGAAAATCTGGCCTCACGCATGAAAATGAGGGGAGAATTTTCATAAGCATTAATATTTTAATGGGCATCTAGGTAATACAGAGGATAGAGTGCTTGGCCTGGAGTCAAAAGGACCTGAGTTCAGATATGGCCTCAAACACTTCTGGCTGTGTGATCCTGGGCAAGTCACTTAACCCTGTTTGCCTCAGTTTCCTCATCTGTAAAATGAACTAGGAAAGGAAATGGCAAAGCACTCCAGTATCTTTGCCAAGAAAACTCCAAATGGGGTCACAAAGAGTTAGATATGACTAAAATGACCGAACAACAACAATATTTTGATAGTAATGTCTTGGTATTATTACCTTACAGTTCTCTGAAGGGGTCTCAAGGACCACCAGACCATACTCGAGAATGTTTATATTGCACTATGTTATGGAGGAGGGGGCAGGTAGGTATGAGTTTAGGGAAGAGATGATGTGAGTTAGGTTAAGAAGAAAGGGAAAGATTTAAAAGGTCAGATGCTTGATGTAGGGAATCTTCTCCAGGCAGTGCAGCAGAACAAAGAAGGAAGAAAACAGAATAAGAATAGCGATTAGTGGCTGTCGTATAAAATACATCAAGGAAAATTGTATGAGAGGAAGCTAGAAATAGGGATAGGAACCACATGATGAGTTAGGAGGGTAAATAAAATATGTCCATAGGGAGTATATGTAGAGTACCAGGCTAATCACTGTATTCTATGCTCAAGGCAACAAAGAGTCATTAAAAAGTTTTGAATAGAGGAGTGATATCATCCTAGCAGTACATTAAGATTATTCAGATAACTGTGTGATTAATTGATTGGAGAGAAAATGGGAAAGTGGAGGGATATCCAGTCAGCAGACATATACTAAGCCATTTGTGAGGTTATGATCAACTAAAGAGTGATTTCAGTGGGAGCAGAAAAGAAGAGACAGATTGTATATGGGATGGGTTCAAAGAGAATGCAAATGTTTCCAGACTAGGTGGCTAGAAGATGGTAGTACTGTCAATAGAAGGTAACAAGTAAGCAGTCTTATAGGAGAAAATGATTGTTTCACTTTTGTACATGTTGGATTTGAGGTATTGTTCAGACACTGATGTTTAGCTCATAGGATAGAATTTTAAAAGACCTTAGAGATTCTCTTGTTTCAAGGATTAAGAAACTGAGGTTTGAATCGTTAATTTGCTTGTCTGAGATCACATAGGTCATAAGTTCATATGTTGACGACTTTAAGGGATCTTAGAAATTAAAGGAAATTGAATGGGATAGACACAGATGAAGAAACTGAGGGCAAGAGAGATTATGACTTGCCCAATGTAACATCTATTAAATAGCATAGTTAGGATTTAAATAATCGATTTGGAGCTGAATGGGACCTCAGAGGTCATAAAGTCTGCTGCTTCTATTCTACAAATGAATAACTCGGGTTCAGTTAAGTTTAAGTGAGCTGGCCATGATCACATAGCTAGAGGTAGACTTATAGGTAGTGTTCAAGCTGAGGTCTTGCCAATGCAACACCCAGCATTTTATCCACTATATTATTCTGTTACTTATAATGATGGGTAATTCAGTATATAAATTTTCATCTCCTAGTTTCATCACTCCAGCACTTTATAAAACACACACACACACACACACACACACACACACACACACACACACACACACACACACATACACACATGCACGCGCACTTGCACACACCCCCCTCTCCAAATGTTCCATAATTTAAAAGTTGCTTCTGACACATACTAGCTTTGTGACACTGGGCAAATCATTTAGCTTCTCCATCTTCTAAGCCAAACGCTGTTTCTTCCATTTCTCACCTCCTGTATCATTGGACAGCTGATAAGTTACCCTTGAATGACTTGCTCTTTATTTTATTTTATTGGAGGCAGTTGGGATTAAGTGACTTGCCCAGAGTCACAGAGCTGTGTCTGAGGCCATATCTGAACTCAGGTCGTCCTAACTCCTAGGCGGATTTTCTATCTGCTGTACCACCTAGCTGCCCCTCTATTCTTTAAAAATATATTTTTGATATCTTTCATTTTCAAATTATTTCTATTTTTTAATATAGTCCTCCTTCCTCCTCCTTCCAGAGAACAATCCCTTATAACAAACAATAAACAAAATGGGAAGGGAATGGGGGAAGACTTTGGTAGTACTGACCGTTGCATTGAAAAAGACAGACTTTATATGTGTACTCCATACCCGTAGCCTCCCATTCCTGAAAAGTATTGAGAGGAGGTACCTTCTCCTGACTCTTCCTATAATTTCATAGCATTCAGTTTCTGTTCTTTTGTTGTTGCTGGTAATATTTCATTATATCCATGACAACACTTTGTTTAGCCATTCTTCAAGTGACAGACATCTACATATCCTCTCATCCTCCCTCCTTCCTTCCCTCTCTTTGTTCCTCCCTTCATTCCATCTTTTCTTCCTTCCCTCCCTCCTTTCCTCTATTTTTTTCTTCCCTTCCTCCTTGCCTCTTTCCCTCCCCTTTTTCCTCCTTCCCTTCTTTCTTCCCTCCCTCTTCTCCCTTTCCTTCATCCCTCTCTTCCTTCTCTCCTTTCCACCCTCCCTCTTCTCCTTTCCTCCCTCCCTCTTCTCCTTTCCTCCCTGCTTCCTTCCTTGTGTCCCTCCCTCAGTTCTTTGATACTAGAAAAAGTGCTACTATAAATATTTTGGAGTATTCAGGACCTTTATTTTTTGTCATTCATCTCCTCAGAGGATATGCCTTGCAATGGAAGGTCTGGGTCAATGATAATGGATATTTTAGTCAATTTCTTCACTTAATTCCAAATTGCTTTTCAGATTGGTTGGACTAATTTAAGACTCCACCAACAGTACATTTTTATGCCTCCCTTTTTTGATTAATTCCTCCAACATTGACTAAATTCCTTGTTTGTCGTCCTTGCTGATTTGCTAATAAAACCTCAGAGTTATTTACTTTTGCATTTCTCTTATTATTAATGATTTGGATCATTCTTTCCTGTGATTGTTAATAGTTTTTAATTCTTTAAATAACTATCTGTATCCTTTGACTGTTTTACATATTGGTGAATGGCTTTTGGCCTTATATATTTCTGTTTCTTGTCTATGGAACTTGGATATGAGGTAATTATCAGAAATATTTAATTGAAAAATTATTTTTTCTCAGTCAGTTCTTTCCCTTATTATTCTAGTTGTATTAATTTTATTCATGCAAAAGCTTTTTTAATTTCATGGAATTGAAATTACCTGTTTTATCTTTTGGAATGTATCTATCCCTTGTTTGATTAGGAATTCTTTTTTGCTTTTTTGGTGAGGCAGTTGGGGTTAAGTGATTTGCCCAGGGTCACACAGCTAATAAGTATCAAGTGTCTAGACCAGATATGAACCTTAGTCCTCCTGACTCCAAGGCTGAAACTCTATCCACTGCACTACCTAGCTTCTCTCTAGTTAGGAATTCTTAACCAGTATTACATTCTAATAGGAGAAGAAAAGACATGTGATTTTATCAGGCAAATCATCTTAATTCTCACCCCTTTAAATTAATAGACAACCATACATAATACACATACATGCATATATACATATAAATGCATATGTGTGTGTCTGTTCATGTTATGTGTATTCTGTTAATTGTAATGCTACTGCTTTTATCCAAGTTCATTAAATTAATTTTTTCTAAGTTTCTGTTTGTGTGTTTGCCCTTTTTTTTGGTGCTCATTACAAAACTGCGAAGTGAGAACAGCCAGTGGTTATTCGAATTGCAAGGTGTTTATAAGAAAAAAACACATATACACACAACAAAAATAACCAGATAAACTTTGAAGAGATCAAAGATTCTGATGGACCGTTTCATTCATTGAATTTGTAGCTCAAACATCCTGTGTCCCAGAATATCCTCAGTATTTCAAATAGCCTCCAATCAATAGTTCACAGGCTGGTTAGCCAAAATAACATTTAATACACTCTAAACAACTTTGAACAAAAAGGCATTGACTTTCATGTCTTTGACTCATTTGAGCAGTCAGTTTAGGTTAGTTGTCTGACATAATGAAATGGGACAGTGGAAGGAGTGCTAAATTTGAGTCAGGGAACCTGGATTCAAATCCAGACTCCCCAGGTTATTAGTTATGTGACTTGATACAAGTAAATCACTTCACTTTCCTAGGCCTTAATTTTCTCATCTGTAAAATAAATAACTTAGATGGCCTTTTAAGTCCCTTCAGAGTCATTAACAATGTTAAACATGGCTCACACCTCCTCTTAGAATGAATTTCACAAAGAAATATATTTACTTTGCCAGGGTGGAGTGTCTGTGTGTCTAATTTCTTCCATTTCCAAAATGAGCAAAGTATTAATTTAAAGAGCGTATTGATTTCATTTTTCTGCTGCCTTTTTGACTTTAGATTGTTCTGTTGGTTATGACTCGTCTTTCTCATGTTCTTTGCAGCGAAAGCCTCATGGATTCCTAGTGAATATGAAACTTGAAGCAGTGGATAAGCGTAATCCCAGTTTAATTCGTGTTGCCTCTGTCATAGATGTAGAAGACCAAAGAATAAAGGTAATGCTTTCGCATTATTAATTCTCCACTGTCTATCCCCCAACCTGGTTCCATTTCCAGGATGTCATCATGTGTGCCAGCAACCTGCTTCTGCAGATGTAAAGCCTAATATATAGAGTGCCTTGTCTATAGAGGAGATAGTAATAATAGATGCTGCAAGCTCTTCCATCTATAGAATGCCAAGGATAAAATCTGCCTGATTTATTGAGAAATCAAGCGAAATGAGACTGACCTCATTTACCAACACAAGCTTTGCTGCGTGTGATTAGTCCCTGCAACTCTCATTTATTTAGGAGGGGGTGACTAGGCAGGCTAGAAGTGACTCACGAGCTTTAGAGAAATGCTAATACATTTTCCATTTAGGCGGTCACCAGAGTTTCTTGCGTGCTGATAGCATCGTTGTTTTTTTTTCTCCTCCAAAAGCAGCTGTACCATTGCAGTCCTTGACAACAGCAACACAATTTTTTCTTTTTCTCTTATCTCAATCACATTGTGCAGAATAGAAATGCAAAAAGAAGAGATTAGGTTTTAAGGTAACATTTTGATTAATAATCACGTCTCTGAACTTCCTCAAGATGATATATATTTTAAAAATCAGTGAATCAAAAGACCTTAATTTTTTTTTATGCTCAGCATGTAGAGCTTCTGTGTAAGTCATTAAATCATTGAAATCACATGACTTCAATTTAGAAATCATTTTTCACCCAGGCACAGTTCATTTTCATAATAATAAAGAAATGAAAGAAGCATAATTTTAATAGATGCCATGCAGAAAGAAGTTTTGATTTAGGCTTGATATACACATGGTTAGTCAAAAGAAATGACCTTTAGATGTATTGTTTCATAGAAGTTATAATATGCAAGTGACAACAGACATTTCAGAAACATAGAGAATAAGTTAATAAGATACTATTAATAAATATGTTAGACATCTCTCCTAGAATCAGTGGAGACTTAAAGCTTGAAGTGTTCTTTTTAGGTCATCCGGTCCAGCCCTTTCATCTTTTAGATGAAGAAAATGAGGCCTCGATAAGTAGAGTTAGTTAAGTGGCATGGCCAAGATTTAAACCCAGTTCTGTGATGTGATTTCCAGTTAAATTCTTCTTTGTCACACTCAGTGTGTTGGGTTGTAAAGGTAGAAGGAATCTTAAAGATGCTTTAGTAAAGATTCCTTATTTTACAAGTGGAGAAACTCTGGCCTAAGAACCTAGTTAGTGTGAATTACTCCAGTCTGACAGAGTAATAGGTAGTAGGTGTCATACTGATGGTTTCTTAATTGGCTTTAGATCCTGGTACTCAGGAAAATTCTAGGAAGAATCTTAAAGTTACAGGCAAAGTGTGAAAGAGAGAATGATTCTTTTGGTACGTTGATTTTACTTAAAATTTTAACATTATTATGACTACTTTGAACTTTTTGTTGTTGCATGTTTTGTATTTTGCTCATGCACTATTTATTTCACTCAATTTTGAATGGGATTTTTTTAAGCTATTAGAATTTTTTTTTGACATACAGATAAGTAACATTTTACATATTCAACCTGTTTCTCAAAGTTAGTTATATATGAACTTCTATAAATTGACTTAAACTTTTGCGTTGAATTCAATTGTCATATTTTTATTGAAAAACTACTTTCCCATCCAAATGTATGTCAGATTGTTTTAAGATGACAGTAAAAGAATGTTTAAAAAATTTTCCAGTCAAGATGTAAAATATACATTTTGAACTCTAATTAAAATACCGTCCTGAATGCATGAGACATGGTAGGTTGCAAACTCACTACACATTAACAAGGTGATGTGTCAGCCAGGAAAAGCTAATTCTGTCATTGTTCACATTCAAATTGATAGTGTCCCAGGGAGGTCAGTGAGAGGTATTCTGTATTCTTTCTGTGACCTTTTGACAGAAACGGGGACCTTCTGATAAGGCTGAAACCTAGTGGGAGAACAAGAGACCATTACCTACAGGGGGGACTCTGAAAGAACTGTGGATATTTAGATGTCATATATATATCTAAGGAGTTATAACATAAGGTATTAGGTTTGTTCTGCTCATCTCCAGGGGTTAGAATTAAGGTCATTGGGTGGAAGTTGGAAAAAATCAGATTTGTAGCTCTTTTTCTATGAGGCATGGAATATCAGTCTTTGAAGAATCAAAGTTCAGAATCATTCAAAGGGCAAAGAAACATGGTAGACCTTAGTACCCTGCAACATATTAACAAAATTACAGGAGAAAAACAGTGTAAAAGTTGTCAATAGAGAGGATTTTTGACCAGGAAGAAACATAGGCTGGTCATGAAGGAAGAGGGAGGGATAACTGATGGAGAGTCTATGAAACTTATTTATAGTGTATTTATAAGAGACCAGAAATAATCAATAAACATAATAGGAGATCATAAATTGTTTGTAATCTGCATCATTAGCAGGAGAAGACTCATTAATAAGATCATGTATCAGTGTTAGAAAAAACTTGCTAAAACTTAACTCCTTTCCAGAATTTAAACATACTGTCTTTGGGGAAGAGGAAAAGGTCCTTCTCACTAGAAATCTTCTAGTATAGGTTTAATAAGGTAGTCTTCACCTCTGTGAATCTGTGAACTCTGAGTTGAAAGGAGATGGATCTTGTTTCTTCCATGCTGCCTAGACTTGTAACCTCGTTAATGTCCTTTCCGAAGTTATTTAAAGACACATGCGCACATACACACACACATAGACACACACCTCCTCAGGTATTTACTTGGTTCTTCTGAAAGGGTAATTTTCTTCATTAAACTAATTCACCATTTCATAGCTATGGCTATTAACAGCTATTTATGTATTTGTTTATGAGAGATATCCATGTGAAGACAAGAGTGGTCTTTTTGAGGATTCTTTTTTTTTTCCTTTAGATAGGTGTGTAATTGTCTCTATGCCCATTTTTAAGCACCCAGATAATCTGAAATATTGTTATTACCATTCATAATGTTTCCACAAAGGAATGGGGAAGGTAGCTATTTCTACATAATGTATCTGTAAATCATGCTCAATGTGACCTACCTCTTACATTACCCAGTGGTGAGTGAATTATTACTTTTTTTAGACTGGATACAATCTCCAAAGCGCTGACTTCCTTCTGTTGTTCCTTGTTTTGTTTATTAATTACCACACTTATAAATATTTATGTTGTCCTTCCATCAGTGTGCCTTGTTCAATTTATAGTCAGTTATTCTGTTTAATAATCATTCTTTTGTTTGGTTGCACAGTGTATCTTTTGTGTGTGAAAGCCCCTTCCTGCCACTGTCTCAGAAAATACATGTTAAATTACTGTTGACTGATGGATATTCTTAGGAAATTTAGCCTTTATTTGGGAAAATATGTACTCCCACAAGTAAACGTATGGAGATGACTTAAAACATAGTAATATTTAATAAATATTTGCTGTGGGAATGGCAGCTAAGCTGTGAAATGAATAATAGATGAATCCCAAATAGATGCTTTTCAGCATAAGGTCTATTGAATCATTAATAAATTGAGTTCCTTCAGTTAGTCTTTTCATATTTAATGCATTAACTGCCTGTATTTATGGCATTTCTAAAAAAGAAATAACATTATGGCCAGAAGACATTAGCATGGCATATTGGCAACTTAGACTAAAGATAGTTCTGAATTTTAGGTCAGGTTAATAAGTTTAGAAGTTTCTGTCTTTTAAAACCTGGAGGGAAATTGCTTGGAGGTGTTAGTCCCAATGCAAAACAGCTAAAACCCACTGAAATTAGGGGTTATGCTGTGCCTTGAGGAGGTCACCAACCTTGGTGAGTCTTAGTTTAGTTGGCTACCAAAAAAAAGGAGACAAATTTATGTATCTTTGAACTTGTCAGAATTTCTCATTGGAAAAAATTAAGAAAGTCTTTTGAAAATTGGGGACATAGTGAAATAGTGTTAACCAGTTGCTCTGTTCTCTAACACTTGACCTTCCAATTACTGGTTATAATGGTACCAAACAATTATTGCTGATTTCTTTTCAGTTTAGATGAAGATTTTGAAAATGGTGTTTTTAAAAGTTTTGATAGGGATCACAGTACAAAAATTTAAAAATAGGAAAAAGACCAAAGTGGAAACAGGTGTTATTTCTACTAAGATTGAGCCAGGTAGGGTTATTTACAGGAGTGCTACTCATGTCTTTTAATGATTATATATAAAGAATATTCATACTGAGTGAAGTTATTTAAAATACCTGTTTTTTACTGTACCTTGTAATCTGCACTCATATATATATATATATATATATATATATATATACACACATATTTTTTATTTGTAACATAGCTGCTAAACTAAAATTTGTTTTATATCAATAAAATGATTTTCTCAAAGTCTATATATAGCCTATAAATCTAGATAATTAACTGTTTTTTTAATAAACATTTTCCTGAAACTTTCTAAACTATTTCAAGTTAGTTTAGAATTTCAACTTTTGTTTATACTTTTTTCTTTCAGAATTGTAGCTGAACATAGATCACACAGAAAAAAAAAGTGTGTTCTTTCCCAAATATACCTGCTTTTGTAGTTAGGAGAACCAGCATCTTTAAATATCTGCAAATGGACAGATAATACTTCACTTTCATATTTTATGTTAAAGTTGGTGCCTCCTGCAATAAATACATTTTGCCCTCTAATATTTTATTGTGGTGATATATACTGGTTTTGTAATTAGATTGCCACCCACAGAGTCGTTGTCGGCACTTCTTGTGATGAATTAGCTAACTCCAGACTCCCAATGGCCAATGATTTAGCATAGATGAAAGGATACAAGATTAGGAGACGAAGGATTTGAGTTCTTCAGGACCTTGGACAAATCAATTAACCTCTCTGAACCTTAATTTTTTTTTAATGTGGAAAGCGGGGCTAGTAATACATTTTTTACCTCACAGGGTAGTCATACACATCAAACAGTAAGCTATAGATAAAGAATTTTGTGGATTGTAAAGTGCTGCAGTAGATACAGGGGGATCACGATTATTATC